TTCTGTATTAGGATAATAATTATTTACTGAAGAATTTTTTCTTCCTCACTTGTTTCTGAAAGTAACTCCGATCCATCAGAAGGGAGCTCTTTAATCAAAGCAAGTTTTTTTCAATCGAAAGTCCCCGTGTAGGCATCCTTTTTTTGAAGATATTTCTTAGAAATATATGCATTAAAAAAATTAATTAAAACTAGATTATATGGCTACTTTAAATAAATTTAAGAGTAAGTGTAGATCCGTAAGAGTTCAAAAACCAGCCTTCCAAGGTAATTCTTCGCATTCGAAACAAACCCTCTCACATATGTGATTGACAGATGTATCAAAAAAATAAGGTCATTATATCCTCCTTATTCTGAAGTATTTATGGGATATACACTTAATTATTTTTCTTTCCTTTTAATCTCAGCTGAAGCGGTATACCTGGATCTTTTCAGTTTTGAAGGAATCATCCTTTCTTTCAAGATTCTCCTATGATGCTCTAAAAATGAGAGTGTACTCTTCTTACAAAGCGGGTACCTCTTTGCTGTATTGTAGCTTTTGTACAATCTTTCTTCAATGATTTACATCTTAGTTTAATCAGATTCTTTGATAAAGTTCACCGCTAGAGGCAATGAACCCTACTGTCGTCCCTCGTCAACTTATCGTCTATATTTATCTCATGCTAACTCTATATATCGATTATCGTGTGCAAGTCTCATGTCTATCAACAATAGCAACAAGTCCCTAATATGCTGTCTTCAGCCAGTTCTATCTTAGACGCCCTCGAAGCCTTTCCCTCCATCTTTGCTTTGTTAGATTTTTTTATGCAATAATTTTGGTTTTGAGAAATCTTTTTTTCCTCCGCACTTTTTGTTTGTTGTCTTTTCGAGGACACGCACAGCGTTGATAATTTTTATTAGCCACCTAAGGGGCTATTGTTTTAGGTGAAGCATATTGGTGTACCAGATCAGTTTCCAATTTTTTTATAGTTCACTTCATTTTTAATTGCATTTATCTTAAATACATTCAATTTAATAATTTTTCGTTTGCTTTAATTTTAATTGCATGTAGCTGATATATGTTCAATTTATTAATTTATCGTTTCCCTTAATTTTAATATTGGAAAAGTTTACTATTGTCCATTTCTCAATATTTTATCGTTTACTTTTAATTATTTTATTGAACTGAGTAATTTAATAATAAGTATAAAAAAAGTGCACCTTAGGTGACTAAATCTGTTATTTGCAAGACTTTGCATAGAACTTTTTTTTTCCTGTTTTAAATATCTTTTCTTTGGAGAATAAGTCTGGTTTTCGCCTCACTGGCTCTTTATAACATGTTTACGCCCTCTATATTTCACTGTAATAAAGTGAACTGTCACGTATCAGTCCGATTCGAAAATTTTAGTGCCGCCATCTGTTGCTCTCTAACCCTCTGTGTGGGCGGTGCTATAAATTTTACACCACTCAGTTTGAAGTATGAAACGAATACTTTATATATTTTGTTTTGAGTAACTAGCAATATTTACATAAAGTTTCAAACATGTAGTTGGTTATCTCATGAAATTAAAACTTTCAATTCATTTCAGAAACATTTCTGTAAGGGATAGAAAGGTCACTTGTTAGGAACTTTCATTAGATTCAAAGCAATAATTTTTATAATCATTCTGCTTGATTGTGCCATCTAATTTAAATAAATAACACTATAGGCTACCATTTGAAGATCAATGTGGGGGAGGGAAAAGATACTTTTCAGAGATTTTTAAGGTGGTACTAATGTGGTATAAAAAATATACCACCACCCCTGAAAGAGTTAAAACCTTATCTCTTAATTTATTATAATCTCTCATTTTTTCATAACTTATAAAGATTAAATTTTTTTTCGCCCTATTTTCTAAAACAATAAGTAGAATTTCCAATTTTAGTTCTTCAGAAACATTTTTATGTAAGAATGCTTTTTCTAGAGATTTACAGAAAAGATTAAAGTTTTCTGCTCTGGATGGAACAGGTGTCGTTAATATTTTCACAGATTTAATTAGATTATTTAAGCTTTGAGGTGGAGACTCGACATGAGCACTGGCCGATTCATGTAATGTAGAGTTATTTGGTTTTAATTGTTTTAGTTTCGCAAGTTCTATTTCTTTTTCTAACCTTAAACATTTAAATTTTTCCAGATTCATTCAGATAATTTTTCCAGAATTATTAATCAGTTTCATCTTTAATAGCAGTTTGAGATTTTCTCATATCAACCATTTATTTAATTAATTTTTTTACAAATTTTTGATCCGACTTGAAACAATCACAATTTCGATAATATTTTCTAAATAAACAATTTTTGCATTTGATGGCATTTCTTCGTCCAATTATTTCTAAACGAGGATTAGATACTCCTTTCTCGTTGACGCAAACATTTTAAAAATTATAAAAAAATATTCTCCTACCGAATCAATTGCTGTTGATCAAAAGAATTCATCTTTCTCAATTCAGTGTGACTGCTGAAATTAATGGTAAGATTCCTTGGTAAATTGAAAGATGAAATCTCCATGACACAGTTCTTTGATATCACTTGAGAAGTTCCACTGCCAACATGATATGCAAGTTTCTTTCTAAATATTTTTTAAAATCCTTTAAAAGATTTTATCTACAAACAAAAAAAGCTATCTGTACTAATCACTGTAGTCCGGACCGAGCCCCCACTTGTAATGTCCGGGTATTCATAATTATGAGCACTCCGGTTTGTGTGTGTGTGTGTGTGTGTGTGTGTGTGGTGTGTGTTGTATTACAGGTAATGTTTTAAATGTTTGAATTTTACCATTTTTAAACTTTTGTTCATTATATAGAAAATGCTACGTAACTCACAAAATGCAAAAGTCATATATCATTTTAAAGAATTTATACTGATTCAATTCAAGAAACAATGTTTTGCAAAACAAAAGGTTAAGCAACATAATTATCGATACTCATTAGATACTGCTGATTGATTTAGCTTATCAGTTAGTAGGATATCCTTTATTTTTCTATGGGAATGTTACCATTAAACTCACATAACTTTAGTCTACTTCATTATTACATGATGCCAAGAAAATATAGCTTCAATTAGGTTTCCTTTATTTGATGGGAGTCCATTCATACTAAGAGTTCTCAAGTGGTGCCACAAAGTTTTCGAAGATTCAGGACACTATGTTTCTAATGCACAGACACCAATTCGTCTCTTTGCATAAAACCATCTTTTCGATAATTTGCGTTTGAGGCGAATCTGCTGAAAATAAATGAAAAATGTTAGAAAAATAGATAACTAGTGGAAGGTAGAAGTTTTGAATCCTGAATGGTATCAATTCATTTTCTGGCATTCAGTGTCCGCTCGATGACATGAAGCTAGACCTATAACATCTGCTGACTGTATACAATAATCATTAGTGGGTTCTTCACAGTTGCCGATGCAAGTTAGAATTCAGATTGGTTCCTTTCTCCTAGATGGCAGGTTCGCTTTTCTCCTATTCTACGTCATAGCTATTTTCGCGCATCACTACCGAATGAATGATATCTTAGTTTTATTGCTCCATAAAACTTGTGACATATCTCTTATTATATGTTCTTTGAAAAACATAGTCTTTCTTCTACATCTGCAAATGTGCACTAATGCTTTTCGTGCAATTCTACTTTAGTCAAACATCTGGTTAATCTTTCTCCTGTTGTTCTAACTAGAAACACCTACAGCTGATAATTCAATAACTTGATGGTTGTTGATGAAATTCTTTCTCAGCAGGCATTTAAATATTTTATTCTTGTGTAATCAACAGATATGGTGCACTTTCGGCCTTTTCCTACTTTGTTTTTATGGAATTTGCCTTCTGATATCAGTAATAAAACTTCTGGACTCCAAATGTGATCCTGAACCATATACCTGCTCAATTTCAGCATAGGGGAAGATTTTCCTCGTAACGCAATATCTTGCACACCTTTATTTCGTGTTATTATCTCCTATTTAATTTGATGTCATTGCTTCTTGAGGAAATATTAAATATTTTACTAAATAAAAAAATCTACTTGTAATTTCATTACATATAGATCCAGTTTTACAAACACACTTCTAACATAACAAAGCACAATACGACTATTCCAACTGTAAACATGATGTTCTGCTTCTGCTGGCATCATGTTTTCAGTTCAAATTCAGTTGGAACAAATCATTTCATTGGTTGACAAGCCATTGTGGACGTTTGATTGGTTCCTAAATTAAGTACAGTGATTTGCCCTAAAGTTAAATATTACAAACCACCTCAAACTGCGTTTGTTTCTTAGATTTAAGTACATATAACTTTTTTTATACTTCCAATATTTGAATGTTGATTGATGTAATAAATTCAGAATAAAATTCTCTTCAAAATCATGTATACGACTTTGCATTTTGTGAAAAGTAACATTTTTTATAAGCATAAAAAAATTAAAAAACATAACAATTTTCAAAAGTGTTTGCAATTTTGGCCACCAGTGCGTGTATATACATAAATGTGTATATATATATATATATATATATATATATATATATATATATATATATATATATATATATATATAAATGTCAGGTTGTGTGATCATCATAACAAAAAAAAATATTTCCTACATATATTTCTCAATGTGCAGAACTACAAGAAAGGTATACAAACATAACAAGAATCAATGTAAATTTATCGGTGTTTATAAACAAATTCTGTTTGTGTTTCTCCATTACATAACATTGGCAAGTGAACTTACCATCTCAAATTGACTCTGTCAAGACTTTTACTTTCATAGTGTTTTTTCCATTGAAATGTCACTGGAAGTGAAAAGATCATATCAATAAAAGAATGCTTTAAAAAAACAAGCACCTGAAAAAGAAAGAAATGCAAATTGAACAGCAAAGATAAAAAGCAAACAGGGAGGATAGAAGTATCTTGCTACAACGATACAACGATATACGAGGCAGAGTAAAATACTGATCCCCCTTTTTTTCCCAAGACTCGAACAAAAATATTGTCAACCATACTCGGTGTTTCCAGGTGATCACCTCCCAAGTACTCCACGCAGGTGATGCTTAACTTCTGTGATCAGTCGAGAACAGGGGCTTTCAGAATGGTATTGCTGTTGGTGGAGATATGATGTGCTTCTGAGCTTTTACATTTCTTCACCAAGAGAACAACATGAGAAATCGGCAGCTTTTCTTAATCAAATTTCCGGAGATATTTATTTATTTCATGCGAGGTTGAATAGCATTCAAAAAAAATATATTAACACAACATATATATTTCTTATTATATATATTACATAAATTCGCAGTAAATAAAAACTTCCAAAACGTGATTAACATGATTTGTTTCATACTACCATAAATGCATGAAAATTTAAGATTTAAAACAACTGTTTTAAAAAATTAATATAAATTAACGACCGGATAAAAAATAAAAATAATTCCACAGATTTCAAAAGTAAGGATAAACAACAATAATTCATTTATTAAACATCAGGTTAAAATTCATTCGTTAAACACAGGATTGAAATTCCATTGTTAAACACAGGAAAGAAATTCCATTCTTCTACCGGCTTAGGAATTCCATTGTTATATTGCGATTAGAATTCCATTGTTATATTGCGATTAGAATTCCATTGTTAAACACGAATCTAGAATTCCATTGTTAGACATGGGACTATAATTTAGTTGTAAGCCTGAGATTGAAATTTTAAAATATACTAACAAATTGACTGAATAAAACAACAATTCACAAATATTTAATTCTCTAGTTTCAGTACACTAATTATTCATTACAACATTTTTATTTGCCTATTAGATATAATAATAATAAAGGGATAGAATGATATTATTAATAAATATAGTTTTGAAAAGAAATATTGTAACTTTTTTGTGGGTTTTTTTTATAAAATATGGGGGATATTTAAATGTAAATAAATAATACACTACATTCATTAACAAGTTATGCAATAATTTCAAAAACTGAAAAATAATCATATGACATGGAAAAATCAGTGAGGAATCTTATCCGTATGATATGGAATCTGGTCTTGAAAAGGGCCAGAAAATAGTATTTAATAGTTAGGAATAACTCAAAAAGAAGACGTGTGTGTGTGTGTGCAGCGCTGATATTATTATTAATGTGTGTGTGTGTGTGTGTGTGTGTGTGTGTGTGTGTGTGTGTGTGTGTGTGTGTGTGTGTGTGTGTGTGTGTGTGTGTGTGTGTGTGTGTGTGTGTGTGTGTGTGTGTGTGTGTGTGTGTGTGTGTGTGTGTGTGTGTGTGTGTGTGTGGTGCTTGATAGACATTCCAAGCCAACAGACGCCTGTGGAAGCAGATGGAGCAGCAGTCAGTCAGAGCTAAGAAGACCCCTCACGGACAAATAGACGAAGAAGCTGACGCGACTTTCTTTTTACTTTCGGACGCATTGGCATTGTTATAATGCTGATGACGAATTTTTACAATAATTCTTTTTTGTATAGTTTGATGATTGACAATAATTTTGTAAATATTGTCTTCTTATACTCATTAAAAGTTTAGTTCAATAATCGTATTCAATTATCGAAGGACAGCCACGACTGTATTTCAGAAGTGGAACGTGATTTATCAGCGATGAACTAGAGGCATTACTTAATTAATTTATTTATTTTGATTAAATCTTATTCTTCCTTAATAACAAGACAATTTTATTAAGATGTTTGTTAACACCCAAGGATGTTTTTAAAATTGGATTAGTACCCTATACGTAGAATTCTGCATCAGTTCTAAGAGATGAAATTGGTACGTACTGTTTATTTTTATATTTGAAGATGAAAACTTTAAATGATATTTATAAAATGAACTTTGCATTGAGGAATTGTGGAGTAGAAAAAAATAAGAATACTACATAATTTTATTTTTCATACTTAAAGAGGTCGCTTAAATCGAAAGAGAAAAAGAGAATAAAAAAAAATTCCTGGCTTTGGTTTTCAAACCGAAAGTGATGAATTTAAACATAAATTACAAAATTTGAATGATTCTTTTTCGCTCAACGAGCTTATTACTGTATGCAATATATTGAGCATTCCATTTGATGGCATGAAACAGTAAGTTGCTAGTAGAATTCTATGTGTACTGTGCGACCTTGAAGCTTTGGCGGAAAACAGCGCCGAAGTTGTCACGACTCAAACACAAAGGATCAAAATCCACCTCATAATGCAGTGGAGGAAAAAACGATTCATCCATACAATGTGAAAGTAGAGATGATTTCTGTATGCAGTGTAATATAAATAACGTTAATGATCATCACAAAGATCATTATAGAGGTAACATAAACAAAAGCTCTGCTATTTTTTACTTTGGTATCAATTACTCTGATATCGAAAGCACCATTTCTAAATTTAACCCTTTGACGGATTGGTGAATCAGCAGTTTTCGCTCTCCTGCGACGCGCAGCGCTACAATCAAACGGTCGCTGAAAGCGGCAGTCGTTTCCTCCCTAATGACTTCTGAAAATGTCACCCTTTTCTGACGATGATACGGATAGCTCACTCGCTTTTAAAAGATAGTTTTTAAAGAATTATTTGCCGTATATTAATGTAATATTTACACCAATTGTAACTTGTAATTTTAAATAGTTCAGTGTCTTATGATGTGATCATTGGACTTCATGTTCTAATGCAAGGTAAAACGCTAATTAAGGAAAATGGAATTAATATCGAAGAGAAATTTCAGTGTTTAAAGAAAATTAAGACATTAACCATGCTGCCAATTGAGGTAACCTTTTACGAAGTTGAACTGAACATTGAACCTGACATTCCAAATATTTTTAAAGATAATATACAGCAAATGATTTCTAATTTAGTACTGCACAAAACTAAAAAAAAGTGTACCGCACCCAGATGAAAATTAGGATTTGATCAAGATAACTGGTACAAAGAAAGGTATTGATAAGCTCTCCATGAAATTCAATTAATATCTGACTAACAGAGTAACTTGCCATTCGAACGTCTGTTAATCCCTAAAATGTTTCATTCCTTCATCTTTGGACATTTTAATGAAACCATTAATCAAATAATTAGAGAAACTAAGGCTAGAATCAATATTCCTCTTACATCTGTTATGAAGGATGCGCTTACCATTGCTGGAGAAAAAGAAGTGTAGCTAAAGCAAAGCCAGAATTCAAAATATCTATGAAGATC